CTATAATAATATTTATCAATAGCATTATCCTAATATAGTATTATTATTATCTTCTTGATTATTAATAATATCATTAAATTATTAAATAAATGCATTGCTTTAATTAAATAAAATATAATTCTGAAGAAGCAAATAAAAAATAAAAAATTAATACTAAACACTTAGTTAAAAAATATTGTAATAATAATACTATTAGTTTTATTGCATCTAACCTTTGTGCAGTTATAAGTTTTTAATAATCATTTAGTTTATTAATACTAAACAATTCTGAAGATTTAGCTTTTGTTATATATTTGGTAACATATTTAGCAAATTTCATTAAAGTAATGTATTAAAAATTTATATATGCATGCCAAATAAGTAATGTTTCTAAACAATACAAAATTACAAATCTGTTACTCTTTTTAGTATAATAATAGACATAATGCAATTGATTGAATAAATAATAAGTAATACATATTAAATAAAGGTTGAGAAAATTCTCTTAAACATTGTAAGTTATTCAAATCTTGTTTACATTTTTGGTTGCAATAATGTATTTAAAACTTTGATATTAACTTATACGTATAAAGCAAGTTTAGTATAAGAATTAAAAATATTAGCATAAATTGTATTCAGAAATATAAGTTCAGAAATATCTTTTTCTATATAAATAAAACAGTATATATGTATCATTTTTCTATTTTAAAACTTATTTCATTCAAAATAATATGGCTATTTTTTTTACTGAACTAAATAAATTTTTTTTATAGTTTGTTATGAAGATTATTTAAATAATTATAATAATGCATATATACATAGAATAGTTGATTAGTTGAGATAAAATTTTTATTATCTGTAGAATATAAGATTGTATTTAATATGTTTATTTATTTTCTGTTATAGTTAAAGTAAAAAATAATTGTAGTTTTTTATATGCATTTATTACAATATTAATCTGTAACTACTTTTTTTTAAAAAAAGAAGCAGCAGTTCTTAGGTTTAAATATAATATAATAGTTTTGATTTGTTTAAAATATTCCAATTACTATAAAAGCTTTTAGTAATAAGATTTATTTATGTTGATTTAATTATATAATTAATAGCTTAGTTTGCTAATAATCTATATTAATTTTGAAAGTTATATTTTTTTTTAAGATTTAAATATAATCAGTAAAACCAATATCAGTGTAACCAAAAACAAAGATCAGAATATAATATTCTTAATTTAATATATTTTCTATAACTATTAGAAGATAATGAAAATTTAGAAAATTTTTTATATCTTCATAATAATCTTAGCTTAAAGAAAATAAATCAAAAATATTAAAACTTTAAAATCTGAATTGCTAAATAAAATAAAAAGATTAACATTATTATTTATTATTGAATTAGCATTAGATAATTGTAATTCAAGTCTTTATTGTGAATTTCTTATAAAAACAAATTATTGGAAACAACTAAATCAGACAAATATAAAGTTTTATTTAGAAAAGTACTTTAGTAAAGATTTGAAAAAGTATTAGAACCAATAATAAATTATTAAGCTAGAGGCAATAGATAAGTATAGAATTTTTTAGTCTGAAGTTAGTAATTATAAAATTAAAAGCATATTTTTAAATAAGACTATTATTTTGTTTAAGCTATTCAGAAGCTAATGTTAGTAAATAAGGGTCTGCAATCTGGACTCATGCCCATGCCTAACAAAAAGCACAGGCATGGGCATGAGCATAAAAATTTGGCATAGGCATGGGTATGGGCACAAAAATTTGGCATGGGCATAGGTATAGGCACAAAAATTTGGCATGGGCATAGGTATGGGCACAAAAATTTGGCATAGGCATTGACATGAGCACAAAAATTTGACATGGGCATGGGTAGAGGTCTGCAAATGTCCATGCCCATATATGACACCAGGCCGGGCACTAGTGCCTTATGTTATGCCTGTATTAATAGGCACAAGAGTGCTAGGCACTATTAAATCAGATTTGACAAAACCAGGTTTGTTGTATTTAAACTTGAATATTTTATTAGCTGTAATGAAGTGTACATCAGTATCCTACGAATTCGCCCAATTAGTTTATTATTATTATTATTATTATTATTATTAGAGTTGTGTCAGATATTAGCTGAGATCAATTTACTATAGAGCTCTTCCCCCTCCCTTCTCCCCCCCTCTCATATAAAAAATTTAGTTATTCTAATTGGTTATATGTATATATTTAGACCTGAGATTTTGTCTACCTTCCCCTACCCTACGATATCAGCTGATATCTGACACTTCCCTTATTATAAAATATTTCGAAAACCTTTTCGCCTTCCATTTCGAGAGAAAGGTAGATTTCAAGAAAGAGATCAAAAAAATTGTATTTATAGTAATTATCTCTTACGTAATAGAGTAGTCTATTTTATTAATTACCATACAGCGTGGACTAAAATACCCAGGGTACTTCACAATTTAAGCTGTATATATAGGTATTATCGAAGGAATACTATGGTCAGCATAGGGGGTATAAGTTACACTATATAGGTGCTGCAGTAATATTTTATATACTAAGTGCAATTAATCCATCTTTAGTACCCGGTATTTTACATTCACAAGTGCAATTAATCCATCCTTAGTACCCAGGGTACTTTACATTCTAGGCCTTCGAAAATCGTGAGGAGTATTATAAAAAGGGGATCTTTTAGTTCATATTGTACAGTAATTTTCTATATGTAAGAATATGAACGATCATGTGATAAAAGCCATGATTAATAAAACAAAAAATACTATAGTGATAGTGACAAACATATAAAATGAAGAATAACTTATTTATTTCCTGCTTCGGGAAACATTGAAATTATTCCTTGTGAAGTGGTGAATAAATAGTACTTATTCATAAACTTGAACAGACTATTTAAATAATTAGATGAATGGATATTTTTTATCCTCACAAACAATAATAAAATGAAATTAAATAGCAAATCACATATTTTAAAGTTTTAGATCAAGAATGTTCTTTATCGGTACTCATCACACTCTAGTATAAATAATAAATATGAATTTAAATAGTTTTAATATTTAAATTAACAATTGTTCTTTATACTCATGAATTAGAATAAAATTAAATAAAAAATTTTCTTGTTGACTTAAAGCTAAATAAATTTGATTAAGTTATTTTTAGTGGATATTTGATTCGAGTCACCAGGATAGCAATGATCATGGCCCAGTTGATAGATACAGTATAACCTATACTCAAATATTTATATAAACTAAATGAATTAAATAGGTGTAGTGTAATAGTAAATACTGTCGACTCAATAGTCTATGTTAAATATACTCACGAACTATATTAATTGAGAAATATTAACTAATAGTAAATATTTTTGAACATATCAATTTATAAAAATAAGAGAATATTTTATTCACCAGCCAATATTTGACTTACATTTAGAAATGCCAAAAGATTCCAATTTGTACATTATTCGTCATAATGCAAAAACAAAAAATATTGAACGTAAACGAAACACCAAGGCTTATCGAGCCCTACAAAAAAAAAAAAAAAAAAAAAAACCAACAATTGACAAGAAAGAATTATTAAATTGGCTAGAAAGATATCAAAAAAGATTCTAAAAAATCATTAAACTAACCAGAAAAATAGCTAAAGCCATAATGAATAGCATGGAAAATTGTCAAACTGATTAATCAAATATGTGTATATATTTTAAAGACAGGATTGTAAAACATTAAAAAAACCAATTTAGTGCAAATCTTCACTCGGAATAGAAAGAAAAAAAAAACAGATACTCACCAAGGTAAAATTCTGCAACCTCTTTCGCTAAACGTACATTCCCTTATCAATGTTATAAGACATATTAAAACTTCACATAAATGTCACAGAATAGAATCATTAATTGTAGTACCATACTCTGCTAAACTAGAGACGGGTCCGTATCAATTCACCGACAAACACTTCAAAGACACCATATTTCACCAACACTTATTTCACTAACAAACTTATAGATAATTAATTTACAGACAAGTTCATTTTATAGACAGTATATTAATCATTTATAAAATAGGATTGCCAATAAAATGAGTGTCGGTGAAATGTGATGTCTTTGAAGTGATTGTCGGTGAGTTGATCGGAATCACTCAACCAACCTATTAACAATTCTACCCCAAAATTAGTAAACATAACCTTAAAAAATATATATCGAATCACTTGAATAAACAGAGGATTAAGTGTTCATTACATATAACGATATAAATATAATAAATTATCATGATTTAATGAATAAAATAACCAGAATTAAATAATGAAAAGCCATCACTGAATTTCATTAGTTCACGAGAATTTGTTGCCCTTGCGTCATTTGAGTTATTTTTAACATTTTAATTATATGAGAGATCTTCATATTTTTTCATCAAACAGTAAATTTCTCCACATTATGTAGTAAGTTTTTCCACGATATCTTAATGGACTGTATTATTTGACTCAATTTCTAGCAATCTATTTAAATTAATAAGTGCTTTTTTATATCATCTATAATAAATATAAACCTTTCCTCGATAGATTAATTCATATAGTGCTAAATGAATTTACTTAAATAATTGAACTTTTATGACCAAGCTTACTTATAAAGATCCACCCTATGATATTTCAACGCACACATAAAAATTGTCTTTTAAATCTTTAATAGATAGCATGCAATTCTCTGAAATATATTATTAAAAATAAACTAATTATACTTCTAATTACTACAACTTACTCTTAAAATTATAATTACCTTATTCTATCTTGTTATAATATAAAAATACATCTTATTTCTAAAATTTAGATAATCAAAATTTTAATAATAACTTTATTTAATTCTATAAAATGCATTATTTATATAATGAATGTAACGCTGTAGTACATAGAGTTGTGTAACTTATCAGTTATACTGTAATACAATATATGTACATATGAGTGACGAAAAAGGAAAACCTGTAAATTGTTTTCTCTTTTCGTCACTCATATATGAAATTTATTTTTTTAAGGAAGATCTTTAAGGGGACTAAACTTCTTTTGGCTTTTTACCAGCCACAAATGCATAAGTATCATGCTAGAAACAGTATTTTCGCTGAGAGTCGCTCTATCATTAGTGATTGTAAAACCAGCCTTTGAAAATGCCTTTTCACTAGAAACACTTGAAGGTTTAATACTTAGATAATCGTGTGCCATTTTACTAAGTGTTGGAAATTTTTTTAACAACGATTCCCAATATAGTATTCCATTCCTTTCATTATCGGTTATGAATTCTTCAAAAGGTTCACCTTCAGAAGACTCGCTTTCATATTGTTCTAATTCGGATTCAATCGTGTTTGTGTACTTTGTATATTTTCGTTTGTTTGACATTCTTCTTCTTGAAAATAAAAAATCATTAGATGTGGGATAATCATCATTAATTTCAACAGCTTCAATAGTCTTAGCAGGTAAAGATTCTG